TATGGTTAACTCTAGGACAAAAAACCCGAAAATCAGAGTTCCAGATCTGGAGCAGACTTAAAGAAAATTCTGCAAATTTTCATTCAAATATTGACCTTTTTATTTTCACTGTTTAGAAAAAAGTTGAGTATGTAGTTTTTTAGACTAGGATTTACCATTGACAATTTTTTTTGTTGAAGGTGTCGCTAATTTTTTTCGTATAAAAAAATTATATGTTCTAGGTTATATTTTGTATGAAGAAAATGAGCAACACCTTCAACAGAAAAATTTTCCAAAAATTAATGGTGAGTCCTAGTTACCTCAGACTTGCACTTTGTTACACTGTGCTAAAAAATTGCGTACCCAACTTTTTTTCTAAAGAGTGTGAATAAAAAGTGCAATATTTTAATGAAAATTCGCAATATTTTCTTTAAACTTTTCACAAAGTTTGGATCTCTAATTTTTAGGGTTTTTGTTGTGGAATTAACCATATTTTTATAAAAAAATTTCGAAAAACAAAATATTTGAAAAATAGTTGCCCGTATTGCCCGTATCGGTGAACCTAAACTTTATTGACTGGCTGTATATTCCCAATTTTTGCAGTGCTAAACATTTAAAGTTAAGAAATCAAAATAAAAACCCCAACTAATAGCTTTGCAAAAATTAATTTACATACCTCACCGTTATCTGTCATTCTCTCCAACGAAATTGTACTTTTAATTCACTTGCTGACACGTTATTTTTTTTTTAATTGTTAACCTATTTACTTTTAGATGCGATAAAAATTTTTTGTTTTTACTCAACTGATTTATTTCGCCATAAATAAATTTAAGTTATACACTGGGCAAATATGGTATGTCATTTTATTATTTTCATTTTCATTTCGAGAATTTTGTGGTTATTTTCGGGGCCACCACAAAGCAAAAAACATTTTGAATGTGTTTTGTTTGTTGTGTTTCCGTTGAATTTTATAAATGTATGCCCAAACTATGAAATTATAAAAATGAATTACGCGATGAAATTGCACTCAAAATTGTAACTCCTGTTGGGCAAAATGTCCAACTGGATTACGAATCGAGTTGAACCAACAGTCGCAACGTTTACAGCCTGCATAATCGTTAGGCTGCCGTTTTGCGAGCTTTGATTTTAGATTACCGTAGAGGCGTTTTGATTATTTCGCGGAAGTAGGATTTAGCTTTTGAGTTTTCGCACACTTTAAACACCTAATTTTTTCCAAATGCCCTTAAAGGCCTTAAAGAAGCGGAAACTAAATTCTTGAACACTTATCTCACTTCCGATCAAAACCGATTACTGCTGGCAGTAGTGGTGCCAGATAAATTTACATGCCAAAGCTAATTAAAAGGGGCATACACACTACTTAAATGCTTTAGGTACATAGATGATGCAGCGAGGATAGTCTACGTTTGCTTTGACTGTGAAAGTACGTTTACATATGAAACATGAGTTCCATTCAATAACTTGTCTAGTAAGTACTTGCAGCGAGAGCTTTAAAGGACATAGAGAGTAAAATTGAGAGGAAGAGACAATTACCTGAAAAAGTTATTGAACGCCAAACTTGTAAAAGCTTGCAACTTGCGTCATTTTGACACTTTCTAACAGTTAAATTTGGCACGCAATTTTCTTTTTGATTGGGAATATTTCCCATCGTCATAAAAATAAAGAAAATAACATACATTGAATTTAAATTGTTCATCCATATTTTCATTTTACATATTATGTTTCATAAAATCATCCTCCTGCAACAGTTTGTTTACATTTAAATTTGAAACATAACCTCACTTTTTGACTCCTACATATTACTGCTACTAAAAATTTTACTTGAAAAATTTGCAGCTCTCTCGGGTTGTTACGCTCTCGAATTCGCCCTCTCTTGCAAATTTTTTTGGTTATTGAATGGATTTCCAGTAAAAACTTGCAAGTACTAAAGACAATTCGTAACAATTTTTTGATATTGAATCAAAGCTCGTTTTTTACACCCCGTTTATACATTAAATTTCGAATTATTAGCTGGCTAATTTGTTGAGCTAATTTTTCTCTCAACAATTTTAATTGCTTTAAATTGTGAAAATATATGATTTGTAGTAAAATTAATCAAGCAAATGTGAAAAAACGGTGAGTTTAGTGAAAGTATAGTTAATTTCAGTGCATTTAAAGTTTTTGAGGCGTTGTTTACGAACATCGAGAACTGTAAAAATCGTAAAACCAAAGTAGTGGTTTGCGGAATGCGTCACCTTCTGTTCGCTACATCGTGAACTGTAAGGCTAATGCCATATAAAATGCTTGCCTCGCTTTGCGTGACGACAGATTTTCTATTTTTATTGGCGTTCATTGTGGCATACCTTTTGCGTCTGGCGCTTTGCTGGCAAAGTTATAAATGTCACGCAAAGCCAAAAAGTTTTATTTGGCATCAGCTTAAGAATTCAAACATTTTTATTGACCAACATGTGTGTCGAGCGGTTGTTCAAGCGTTTACCGGATCGAACATCACTGTATGTTGGATCATGTAAACCCCTCTAAACTTAAGCTGAAGGTACATACTTTTATTTGCTGCGGTGTTGCGTTGATCCGTTGGTGCGTTGACGACGCTAAAAACTTTGCTGTTACACACCTTGCGTCGTGCCGCTCATTGTTTTGTAAACAAAAAAAAAAACAGCTGATAAGCATATTCACAAATGTAATTTCAAATGCCAAAGCATGAACGCAAAAGAAAAGTAGCGAGTTGGTTTACTTTAGAAGGCAACTGCGTTAACGCATTCCTAACGGCGTCGTCTGTAACAGTTGTCATACAAACGCATGTGTTCAATTTTATTTGACATTGACGGCGTGACGCATTTGCCGGTGAACGCATGTTGTGTACCTTCGCTTTTATCAAAAGTAATTGATAAAACTGCTTGCAACACTGAAAAGTTACCGGTTTAAAAATTAGGAAGACGGCAATTCTTCGTAACTCGTATAGTAATTGGATCTAAATTACCTACATATGGGGAGATTCGTCCCCAAAATTTTGTATGCCGAATTACCTAATTCGAAGGGTAATTGGATTGCGAATTAAGAATGAGAGGCCGTGCCACGTGATTGGAAAGTTGCGGGAAAGCCGTATAAAGAGCGAAATACACCACACAATCGGTGTGTCAAATATACTTCAAACCCACTTTTCCCGCTTGGCTATAAACCATGCAAACATGACTCGTTCAAGTAAAGAGTTTTATTTTTCTTCTGGTTCACAATGTAAAAAATCTTGGTCTCTTACATTTTTCTTTCTTACGTCCCCTCTCTTTGGAAATTCCATTGGAAATCAGACGATTTTACTATACACAACGCAAGCGGTTTGATCCAACGTTAACAGAAAAAAATTTTGATTTTTGC